CCTGCAAGTATCACAAATAACTAGCATATCACACATCCCATAACCAACTAATCATAACTCATAACAATAATGGGCGGGCCTTGGTGCCTTCAACCCATTGGTATGGTGAGGAGACTCACCTTTCACGAATGTTGAATCTGAAAGTTGCTCTACTAACAGTCTGTGACTTCTCATGCTGAACAATAATACCATTAACCCAAGTTAAAGTCGAACACAATCCAAATTAAAGGACCCAAACCCCAAGTCCTTTTTTACAATGGCTCATAAGTCTTTCTTTGCTAATGGGCCCAAAGTCCATGTTCTAATCATTAATGGGCCTCATGACCCAATAAAGCCAACCATAGGAACCATGGCCCAAAACATATATATATATATATATATATATATATATATATATATATATATATATATATATATATATATATATATATATTAAAAAAAAGAATCAAACCAAGTCATTCCAGATTTGTCATGATGATATTTTCATAGAAAAATCGTTGGTATAGTTTTGATTTCGTTGGCGCGTTTAGGATTGGTAGTTGATTTGAAGCCAACAATTGTGTTATACGATTCTATTTTGTTTGCTTTGTATGTTTGGTGTTTGTATATAATTTTGTATATTTCTTTTGCGCCCTTGTTAAGGTTTATAGATATGTCTCTTATTATGGATTGTTGGATTGAAACGGGATTTGGAATATGACATGAAGATTGTGCAACCGCAAGCTGTTGAAGAGCATGTAGAGAAGATTAGGGAGAATAGGGGTATGCCTTACCGACACCTGAGTGTCGTTTACCTTAAATAAACGAATGTAGATTCTTTGATAGACTTAAGTTCGCATATCTTGTAAAATGAGTGCATACACGAGTGGATGAGTACTTCAGTGAGTACGCCTTATAAATTGAGATGCACCTGCCTTGTCAGTAAAAGTTACTAGGAGATGTCTTATACTACACCTCTATGCATTTAAGCCAAGTGTTTAATAAATGTTTGTATTCCATGTGTTTTATTGTCTTGATTTGGAATGTAGTACATTTGCATCTGTATTGGGTATATGTTTACAACTCTTTGATCATGATTATGTTGTTGGGATGAACAACTTAAGTCATTCTTTCTTTTTGTTTATAATTTGCATTTGCATTTCTTTTATCTTTCCCGAATTGATTCGATTTTTGTTTTCTCGAGGACACGAAAAGGGTAAGGCTTGGGGAGATTTGTTAGGTGCAAAAATTACACATTTTCATATATTTATTTCATGTTTATTTATAGCATTGCATTGCACTTTAGTATAATTTTACATGCATTTTGCATTTTCAGGACGTAATCAAAGATCTATCTACTTTTCACCATTTTTGTGGATGTTTCAAAGTGATTTGAATATTGGAGCGTGCTAGGATGTCCGAGGGAGGCTTTACGTGAGCAAGATTGAAGAAAAAAGATTTTTGGAGTTGGGTGTTTACTCAGGAGATTCTGCGGTTGTGAAATGAAGTTCTTAGCAAACCAAAAACTCATTCCACATGCGTGAAATCTCTAGGCTTACCATTTTGTGGCCATGGAATGGAGTGTGATAGTTTTTGTGATTTGCAATTTCCAATTAAAAGAGGTTTTCTCACCTTTTTGAATGCAACTTCGACCAAGAACTTGCAAGGGGCGATTTTCACGTACTTTTTCATCCTTTAGCACTTTGAAAACATTAATTCTCTCATTTTGTAAGTTTGTTTAAGGATTAAACTTGTTGAATTTGTACTTTAATTTAGCCATGTATCGCTAACTTTTCCTTCCACTTTCAATTTTAGATCCTTAAATACTTGTTAGATTATGATGTGAACTTAATTTCATGTTTCTATCTAGTAGTATTTGATTCGGTCTTCATTATATGATTTGCACTCTTTTAGGGTTCATATACTATTGCTAGTCAAACTGTGAAATCTGTATGTATTTTATGATTTGATGTTGGTAACAAGCACTTAATTGGCTTCAATGGAATCAAATTTAGGGTAATCAAAGATTGATTGTTCATATTCCCGAGTTTGTGAGGAATGTTTGACATTGTTGGTATTAATTGCTTGAACTTAAAATCTTGTAGTAATCTAATCTAAGAGCTTGTTTGGATTTCATCAACTAAATGAAGTTTTACTTAAAGATCATGTTTTGAGTAAAACATTTTTATCAATTTGGAGATATTAGAGCATGTTAATATCTTAATTACCAACCTAGATTGAACATAAATTTAAGTCACATTACATCTTACAACATAGTACTCAAATGGGATTTGGAATTGGAAATGCCTCTTTAATTCTTGAATCTTAGTCTTAATTTGTTTGCTTATGAAGTTTAATTTGAAGATAACAAAACGTTTCAACAACTATTATCATGATGTGTGAAAACATGGTTATATATCTTTTATAAGTTTACTTGAGAATAAATTTTCTTCTAAATTAATTATGTTCACTTTAACAAAGAGTTAGTATGAGATTTATCTTTAGATGTTAACAAATCAAACTAACTTTGGATTTTAAACTTTTATGGCAAATGCTTCAGTAGCTTACAAAGAGAAGTTCAACGATGCATTTAAAGGCACAAAGAGTGTGTTTACATATTCATATTAGTGTTAAAAGTTGTGCGAAAAAATACCTTTAGGTCCGCCCTAGGTGGCATAGATTGGAAGTTTTTCTTCATTGTATTTGTCTACGTAGTTTCTATCTAAATTGCTATAACCTTTTAAAGATATAAATGCAGAATTTCAACAATCTTTAATTCTTTATTCTTTATACTTCTATAAAACAATATTCTTTCACCTTCAAAAATCATATAAGATTTTTAGACTCTAAAATCAAAATTATTTTAAGTGGCATATAAAAAATTGTAATATAGTACAATATAACAACATTATTTGGTTTTGGGACGTTTGATATTGTTTATTTAACAGAACTTACGTTTATTTACAAAGATATTTTTTTTAGTTTATGCTTTATAAAAAAAATAAAAAAGTTTTTGAAAAATAAAAATATACAATACGAACACAATAATTGATAAGTTGTTTTTATTGTCCCACAAATGTTGTTTATTTATTGAAATGACCAAAAAAAGGGTAAATTGGTATATGTATCATAATTGTTTAGAATTAAAAGAGTAGTAAAGAGGTAAATTCGTTTCCAAGTATAATAAACACTTTGAATAAATTATTGTAATTACTTTCAAATAAGTTAGAATGAAATTGTTTTATCAAAAACTAAGCACTTTTTTAATGAAAAAGAGACACAAGCAAACATCTTGTAATTTTAAAACAAGGCTATCTATTTGAGTCCAAGATAATCATAATTGTTTTACGTTTTATCTAAACCTAATGAGAACTTACAAATTACTATTAATAAGTTTAAAAAGGCCTTGTTCCATTGTTCTGAAACCTTTCATAAGATCCGGATGCTTTCCAAGTAGATCAGAAACCTGAAAGAAAAAAAGAAAAACGTTACAAATATTAAATTGTATTAATTCCAATATTTAAAATATTAAATAAAAAGCATATATATTACATAACATTTAAGTACCAAGATTTGTAATTCCTTTCTTGTAATTATATCAGTGGTATAGAGATGAAGACACTTCAAGAATGCTTGATAATCATCGTGATTACGTAACCCATCCTTCACTTTCTCACAGAAACTATATACTTCACTATACATATCTGTAAATAAATAATTAATTAAATACCAGAATGTCTTGATTAATCAAAAGATATACATATCATTGTCACCTCCAAAATCTTCAGATTTTCGTTTTTCAATACGACTCATGTCCTTATTAGCATCAAGATGACTCTCTTTATAATCTTGATCAGAATTTGTCCTATTCTCAGATCTCTTTCTTTGATCTTTTTGAAGTTTCATTATACGTTGGGGTTTATACAGTAGCGATCGAAATTTAGAAAAAGAAAAATGGAAGGGATGTTGTTTTATTCTAATATGACGTGCTAGGTTTAGGGTGAGGGTTTTGTTTGAAAATCAATAATGGGCTTGGGCTAGGGCTTAGGATTTGGGCTAAAAAATTGGGTTGAATCTTATATTTATTAATTGTTGAAAATTTGATTTAAAGAATATTTTGATTATTTAACTTGTAAAAGGTTTTGCTTTCTAGCAATATGAATAAAAATTTCTAAAACGGAAAGAAAAAAAAAATGATTAACCGAATAACAGGTCAAATATTGCGTACCATGCCACCATCATTAGCGAAAAAAAATGGTTGCCAAAAGAGACTGTAATAATGGAAACTTATAGCACTTTATAAATATAAAATTAATTATATTTAGAGTTTGATTTGGGCAATCTTTCCTCATAAAAAAAGTGATCTTTAGATTTTAGACCTTTTAGTTTAAAATTTAAAATTAAATAAAGGCTGGCATAGGTTGGAAGCTTTTCTAGTTTTCTTCATTGTATTTGTAGTGAATTTCCATCTAAATTGTAATAAGCCTTTTTAGATATAAATGCAATTTTTTGATAATCTTTATACTTATAAAACAATATACTTTCACCTTCAAAAATCACATAAGATTTTTAGAGTGTAAAATTATTTTGAGTGGCTCATAAAAAAATGTCTAGATCAACATTACAAATGGCATTATTTGATTTTTTTTAGGGGTATTTGGGATTGCTTATTTAAAACAACTTATAACTTATGTTTATGAAATAAGATATTACAATATATGGTTTTTTAGGGTTTCAAATATATTAAACACTTTCAGATAAATTATAATTATTTTCAAATAAGTTAGATCGAAACAATTTTGTCAAAAACGGTTTATTCAAGTCAATAAGCTTTTTTTTTTTTAATGAAAAAGACAGATCTTGTAAATTAAATTTGAAACAACGCTATATCTATTTGACTCCAAAACAATCATAATTGTTTTACTTTTTAATTTTTTATCCAAACCTCATGCAAAATAATAAGTTTTAAAAGGCCTAGCTCAGTTGCATTTTATATTTTTATATTTCTTTATCATGTTTACTTAAATTGCATTCTTTTTTAAATCTAAAGAAACAAACACATCACCTGCAAAAACAAATACAGTATAAATGTAGTAATCAAGAATACCACTTATCATGTACTCATTTCAAAATCATGAAAAATACATATTGCAAAAAATAGCAATCCACTTTACCTTTACTACCAATGTTCGCAATATACTTTATTTTTTGCATGTAATAACAACTTACTTGTATTTTTTCACCCTTAATAGCAATGTACTTTATTGTTGTTATAAGTAAAAAAGTAAAGTATTTTGCATATATTGGTAAAAAAAGAAAAAAAAAAAAGTAAAAGTGAGTTGTTATTTTTTGCAAGAACTTACCAAAAATTAGATTCCCTGACTTTTCTAAAGAATTCCACTCAACATTTCTGCATTGTCACAATGGCATTTGGGACATATGCATTTTTCCTGCAGCTTCTCACCAAAGGAAGCGTATGCTTCTTCCAATTTAGATGTCTTTGTAGATCTTGTCAAGGAAAAACACAAAGATGGACAAAAGGGCATTCTCGTCTTTTCCATTGAAAACAGTTCCAGTTAGAAAAATGAAGATTGTTGTGAGGATATATGGTTAATTCTTGAAGCTCTTTGCTTGCTTTCATTACTGCTTCCATCAAAGATATTCTATGGTTCAAATCCTCAAGCTCTTTTTTCTCCTATGAATGATAAAACAAATCAAATTGATTAGCATTCGCCTATGTGGCACCAATAATGTATATTGTGCACTTATATCCAAGAATTTATGTTTTTTAATCAGAAGACACGTAAGAAATGCAATGGATTTGCAGCTAATTGGTAATTATCACCTGCATATAAAGAATTTGTTCTGATTGAAATTTGTCTTCTTCAATGTTGGTTTCAGAGATTATTTGAGCAAGCTTATCTTCAAGATCTCTTTTGGCTTCTTCAGTTTCTTTTGTATTAGAATATACCATGTCCACTTTGGTCAAAAAATATATATATTAGTTAGGAAGCACTGTCTTCATTAGATATTTATGTAACATTGGACAATAAGATGTGTATTTGAAGATTTAAGCAAACCATGTTGTGAGATTGTGTCACTGTTAAATGCTTCAATAGTGGCAGAATCCACAGACTGCTGGAACTTTCTGCATCAAATTAGAAATGAAGCAAGTTGATGAATATATCATATATGCATTTGTGTAGCTGGTTTCATAACAGATCATGATCCAATGAAGTGATTCCACATACCTAATCTTTGCATTAAGGTCAAACATTTTGCCAATGAAGTCATCTCTACAAGAATAAGCATTACAAGTGAAGAAATGAGATGCAATGCAAAAACAATGGAAAATTAAATGATGGGAATAACAATGGAAACCTACAGCAAAGCCCTTTCTTCATTCTGAACGTTGATTCCACACAGTTTTGAGAACGAATAGTAGGATTAATTCAAAACACAAACATTTAATCAGCATGAGAATCAAGTAGAAACAGAAAGCAGATAAACGAGTGTAATCAACCACCTTAAGTGCCTCCAAATCAGATCCAACTGTAAATATTTCATCCTGTATCAAAGAAATCCGTCCCTGAAAACATCCAAACGCTTGTAACTCAGAAGTTTCAATCAACACAGGTATTTAAGCTAAACATGAGAGATCTAGAGGTTGGATTAAAGGTTCACTCATGGCCGATTCTCAAATTGCAGTGTTTCAGATTTATTAGTTACATATCGACGAACCGTTATTATCTACATGTAATTTAAATTTCATCAACGAGGTTCTATCGTCCTGTGATTTACGTGTGTTCAGAGATTGGAATATAGATCGACAGATAATCATACAGAAATGTTAAACCTGTAAAGCTTGGATTGAGGATTCGCTCATTGCCAATTCAACTTCGTAGCCTTTTAGCTCCTGTTCAGTACATTCTTTCAAGCGCTTGGCTTCTTCAAGCTCCAAATTCACAGAGTCAAGTTCCGATTGGAGCTGTTGAATCTCCCGCTTCAGGTTTACTATCTTACGCTCTGTCGATTTGCAAGGTCGGATTAGTTTTTTGAAATTACACGAGTCGATGAAAACAAAAACGATCGTAATTTTTTACGAGATGTTGATTGAACTGCATACCTCCTTGAGATTTTTCTGTAGAGACATCGCGGATTAGGTTTAGAAGCTCCTTCTGCGAATTGCTTAATGCCATTTCCGTTTCCCGCTACTAACTACTGAAGGTTTTCCTGGAATTCCTTTATATACCACTCCCACAGGCCTTCAGGCTTCAACAATCGTTCAATCAACATAATATATATATATATATATATATATATATATATATATATATATATATATATATATATATATATATATATATATATATATATATATATATATATATATATATATATATACACTTGTATGCAGTATTTATATACATCTGAAATCCTATGTATTCCTATAAAAGTGTATTTATATATTAAAAATGTATTTAGTAGGTATAAATATATATTTATTTCATATATATATATATATATATATATATATATATATATTGTATACATATAAATATAAAAATACATATTTATAAGGTTTATATTGTATAAAATATATAATTATATGTATTTGTATACATTACTAAGTATAAATATGTATTTATTTCATATTTATATGCATACGGTAGTTTTTATACAAAATAAATATTGAAAGACCACAACTTTCGTATTTATAAAAAACCCAAACTTTCATACTATTTCAAAAGATTTATTAAGTTACTTCCTTAGAACATGTTACATACATATTTATAAAACAATATTTTATATTGATAAAGTGATTACAAATGATTGGATACAAACTGACTAAATTTTATTACATTTCATGTCTACTCAGGAATCTACTATTCATATATATATATACATGAACATTAAAAATACAGAGAAATACTATTAACTATTCTAAATCTTTCAGCAGTATAAAGCTATATTGGAATACTCATCACCTGCAATTGTTAAATATTGAGAGGAATAAGCGATAACGCTTAGTGAATTCAATAGATGGATACAATATAATCTTATGCCTTACATATACCAATATGACAGAAGCTGAAGGTAACAAGAAGACATATGTGAAATCATGTGACAAGCGTTCATATCAATCAAAGACTTTATTCAAATATATACTTTTCAATGAGACATAACGATTTCAATACTTGATATGCATCAGTAAAGCTTTGGCCCAATTGGCACAGAAGACATATAATTTCTGATTAACATTTTGGTAGATTTTAGGCTTATAACCCTGTCTAACCATTTGCCAATACCATAGAATAGAGTTCATTCTTTTACGGAGTTATGCTCTACATGGTCAGAGGCTACATACCATTCATATCAAACCTTATGCCAATGCCATAGAATAGAAGTCATTCTCTTACGGAGACATGCTCTACATGTCCAAAGGCTACGTATCAGTACCAATGTGAATCTAAGTTCTTTCACTGATCACATGGTTAAAGGTATTATATTTGCTATAAACATAGCGAATAAAATAACATGGGAGAATAACTCAGAATAATAACACTTAGAAGCACATAGCACATATAACACATAACATACAATTGTTCATATATATTGAACTCACCTTAAGTTAACCGGGGGTTAAAATAGTAATTTGGACAACATTTCGGCTTTAAATATGTCTTTTTATGTTGAAAACCGGGAGCTTAATTGAAAACCGGGCTCTGCGAAGGTAGGGCTTCAAAACCGAAAAGATAAAATTTTCGGGGGTCTCGGGACGTGTTTCGGTTGCTAAAATTGATACCGGGGCTTCGGGAAAAGTCAAAATAGTGAAAATATGGAAAAAGGGGCCAAAAATGGAAATTTTCCAATTCTAGCCGGGAGGGTTCGCACCCTCCTATTTATAGGGGCGAGGTTCGGATCATGTGGTTGAGAAGCGAGCACGTGGCTGCTGGAGCGAAGGCCACGAAGCGAGAGGAGGGGAGAAGACGTGGCACCTGCGAGCTTCGAACCAATCAGGCGAGGCCATGTCTCGGTGACACGGCTTAAGCGAAGCTCGGACACGCGAAGGGGGCAACTGGCGCTTCGGAATCCGGACCAAACACGCGTCGGACTATGGACTTGCCACGATTCGGATGACTTAGCAAGATCGGACCCCTATGCGACAGGCGACATTGCGAGGCGAGGCCACGTCTCCGGTGACGCACCTGCTTCGTGCGAGGTGACGTGGCCGGTTACTATTCATGCGCGATTTCTTGATTTTTGAGCTCCGAACTTCTAAAATCCATAATTTTCGCATGCGAGCTCCGTTTTTGACGTTCTTTATATGCACGCGTAGCTAAAATTACGCTCTACAACTTTCGTTTAGACTTCGTCGGCTAATTTTGAATTTATTTTTAATATTATTATTTTTAACAGACAGAGATCGAAAAATCCGTTAAAAATTCATAACTTCTTCATCCGACATCCGTTTTCGTCAGACTTTTTACCGTTCTACTACATATGACGAGACCTTCGATTCTTGTTTAGGATGTATCAGTAAAATATCGCTCGATCTAAAATTCGAGTTTTTAGTTGTCTACTGTTAAGTTGGAACTTCGAAAAATTATAACTTGCTCATACGAAGTCAGATTTTGGCGTTCTTTTTATCGAATTTCTTGGTTTAATGAATACTACAACTTTCATTTAGATTACTAAGGCTGAAAAGTAGTTTATTAAAAGCTCACTTTTTACGTCATTCGGAGCCGTACCGGTTTTGTCGCGGATCTTTGGTTGGTCATAACTTCTTCGTTATAACTCGAATTTCGACGAGGTTTTCGTCTACAAGTTTCTAACGAGATGATTTGCAACATCAAATAATAAAATTTTACTTATTTCAAATTTTATATTTTCGCTAAATTTCACTATTTGGCTATTAATTGGAATCTCATAAGACTTCCAATATTTTATGAGTGATTCTAAACATAGTTTTACTTCATTTCTCGTAAAAACTAGCTGTTAGAACTCAACACTCAAATTTATTTACTTTTAATAATAACAATACACAATTTCAGAACGTGTATGTTACAAATACCTCCTCCTTTTGAGGATTTCATCCCCGAAATCATAACGATTAAAATAATTAAGGATACTTCACTCTTATTTCATTCTTATTTTTCCCAAGTATAATTTGGGAATCGATGGTGCTTCCACTTGACAATCACCAACTTCATTTCTTTATTACGTAAACTAGTCGTTCTTTCATTTACAATCTCTTCTATTCATCTTGAATAATAGGACCATTTCATCATATATGCTTAACCTTTACACAGATATCTCACATGAAACATTTCATGAATATCTGTCAAATCTTCAGGCAATTCCAAGCAGTATGCTTGCTTACCAACCGTTCTTTCTTCCAAAGTAGTATAATGCCTTTTCATGAAATACTTTCAGTATTACTAAATCATCCACCCGGAATTCTAAGGGTCGTCTCCTCTTTTCTGCATAGGGAATTTATCGATCCTGGGTCGCTTTCATTCTTTCTCTGAAAAATTATATCTTGTTAGTGATGTCTTGAATCATTTCAGATCCTCTAAAGATCTTCCATCTTACGTCACGCCAACATATTTGAGTATGACATTTACTCTCATTCAGTACTTTATATACCTTCACTATATTTTCTACTGTTTGGATTGCTCTCTTCTTTTGACCATTTGTCTGAGGATGATAAGTTGTACAAAGAGCAACTCGAGATCCTAATTCATGCTTCATTCTCACCTAAAAGTGAGGAGTGAAACGAGTATCACGGTCGTAAATAATCTATAATGGCGCATCATGACTTGCCACAATTTCGTCTAAGTAACTTACGCGTATTTTTCCAATGGAGTCATTTTACGTGTAGCGAGAATATATGCATTCTTCATCAGCCGGTCGATAATTATCCAAAGGTTATCATTCATAGTTTTCTTCTCCTCTTTCAAGGTATTAACTGTATAAGCCGGATAAGTAGAATATCCCTTCGACATAATTTATGAGTTTTTAAGAAATAAATTTATTATTTTCACCGTAGACATAAATAGAATCTTCCCTTCCGATAGGGATGCATATCATCTCCTTCTAGAACAAGATCTTTGCGTGGTTCTTTAAAAACCATTCCATATCAAAGATAGGAATTAGGTTAGCAGGAAGATTATAACTTTCAATTCCTATAACACTAACTCTATAGGCTTTATCAGCAAGTAACGATATATTTCCTACGTTATCTATATGAAATGATTGGACAACTACGTAATAAGTAATTTGAAAAGAATATGTGATTTTATAAGGCACGAAAGAATCTGAGGCATTGAAATCAAATAAAATGTGAGCAGATCTAGAGTTTACGAGAAAATTACTAGTTACAACATTCGAGTTTTAACTTACTTCCTCTGTGGTAATCTAAAATGTACGATATTTAACTTTTAGTTTGCCATACGATTGTCAAATTCTTCAAACTTATTAATTACTAGCGGTGCTCGAACCTGCACCTGCTCATCATTCTCTATGGGGCTTTCGATCCTAATCTTTGAGTTAAAACTCAATTCTCATTGCAGACTCCTGCTCCTTCTTGGTTTATAGACTAAACCCATGATAAGGTCTTTACTTTTGCTATAACAGCAACTCAAATGGTTTTATTCTAATGACCTTTGATTTTATCTCGCACAAGACACATAACGATCCAAACTCTTGTATTAGAATCAGATCGAATAAAATCGAGCTGATAGAATAAAGAAAATGAAAAGAGTTTGATCAACATGTAGATGCTTTGGAACATAAAGAATAGCACCACGTATCTCTAATTCATGCTTTCGGACCTACATATCTTTTAGCTTTTGTCACCTCCTCCTTTTTAGTTGGAGTATTCTTTGATTGTTGAACGACAACTTGACTCCCCGCCATTTGAATTAGTAAGAGTAGGGCGGATACATTTCTTGTGGCCAGTAACACCACATAGCAAGTCACATCTCTGGCTCATGATTGCTCATTTTTTAATGAAGATTGTTATATTTCCATCGACTATCTCGACCATTTACTTCTTCAGTATTTCTACTGATGTTTTGTCACTATATAAGACATGGTTCTCTGAACCAATTAACTCCTTTCGCGGATTTGTACTAATCGGACTCGGTTCTTTAAGAGTTGAACAATACTTGTCTTCTTAGTCATTACCGAATCGAAGGTAACGACACACATGAATAAAATGGAATCATTTACAAGCTTCTTGGTAACCTTGTGACTTTTCCTGATCCAAGTGTGAGTCCTGT